AATAATAAATAATATAAAATTAATTCACTTACAACTCGACAATCTATTATTTTCACTTACCCGCTACTGTTGCAAATAACTAAAATAAAATTAGGCTGACTTCGTTTTCGCAATTTGGTAGCTGGACGCACCTTGTCCTATGACTGCTGCCAAAGTAGTTGTCATAATTCCCAGCTTTAGACCGTAGAATTGGTACATTCTCAGACTCTTCGTCGGTATCATTAGTGAATCTTGCCACTCTCAGCACCACTTCCCGCTGCAACTCGTCAAAAAGACAAGCGAAGTCGATCTCTTGACAAACTTTCTGCCGAAACGGTTGTGTCAGCACGCCTCTTTCTGCCCTCAACCTTCCATCTACCCCACTCCACACAAAAGGTTCCACCCATACCAGCACACCTCTCTTCCGATTGGCTGATCCTATCTGGATCTCCCACATGCACGTGTGGATTCCTTTCCAATATTTCTGGTTGACCGAGTTCACTCGGTGCCAGATGCAGTACAGTGTTGCCTACCGAGCAGAGCGCCTCATTCCCATGCTTGAAGATATTAAGCCCGTGTCACCTGAGCAGTTTGTTGGCAGGAGGGTGGGCATCTCCAGTTTTCTGTATCTTTCTCCGTGTGTGTGCTTCTAAAGGCACCCAGACGAATGCATCATCATTTCCAGAGTCGGAAGGTCGACGTGGTACATTCCCAGTCGTATCGCCGGCATCGTCAGTCAGTCTTGCCAGTCTCACAACAACACGCAACAACTCGTTGCAAAGACAAGTGAAGCCGATGCTCGTATCACCCATTCACTATCACAATCTCTTGCTCATTAAAATGTGTTATCGTGTAACCTCATGAGGCCCCTGCCCACCCAAAGCTGGCTTTTTCAACCTACTCCCCCACATTTGTGCTGGGGATGCTGGTCTGAGTCTGCCCTATTCGTGCCCAATTCTCTTGTTGAGCTTACTTCCATTTCGAGGGAAAGTGTTGCGTGAAGAGATTCGAAGTTCGAAGACGACCAGCTGTCGATTGGCTTTACTGAAACATTCATGCTGACGTTGTTTCCAAGGCAATCTCCTTCGATTCCGGTAAAAAGGTATTAAGCATTCATGCTTCATGCGACGAACATCATCATCGTCACAACCAAATTCAAGCTAACGAGTCAAGAAAACTCACCGGAAAATCTCTAAAAAGTGGAATATATATCCTCTACATCTGGCCTCTTTAATCAAGTATAAAGTGATTTGGTTAGTTACGGTCATATGTCGACTTCGAAGCCTGTGAGTGTGTCTGTGTCTGTGTGTGTATGTGCCTGTTTGTGCTAGCTTATGCACGAAATCCGCAGTGATGGCTCAAAGTATTAAGTACAGCAAAAAGGAACGTCTTTTTTCGACCATCAAGATTTGATGACCCTTTCTCATCGAAAAGACCTTTGAATCTCTTCACGCAACACTTTCACTCGAAACGGAAGTAAGCTCGACAATTGTGAAACAAGAGATTCCTCGAAACCCAACTTTTCTTCCCAATTCTCTCCCCATAGGTCCTATCACAATTCCCCTCTTGCCACGTAGGATCCTTCTTCCATCTCCTCCGTTTTGTGATTTCACTCGACCCCTGCCACCCCAACTGTACCACTCGAGGCGTTATTTTCCACCCTCTGCCTCAAGTCTTTGATGGCACTGACACTCTCGCCTTGCTGAGGTGGCTTCCAAATTCTGGATTCTTACGCTGAGTGGGAGACTAATTTGAGGCCACATTTCCCATTGTCACCCTTCGACATGTCCACCAAGTAATTCTCATGGACTAGACTTTGCTTCACTGGACACAGCTTTCGTTCATCTTTTCATAATGCCAAGTCTCTTGTGTGCCAACGCACAAATATTGTGGGTCTACTCGTTTTGAGTAGGCTCACAGTAGACGTCGACTCTTGGTTTCCGAATGTTCCTTTCTGGTCTCTTTGCGATTTCTTTTCCTGAACGTAAAGATCATACCTTGATCTATTCGTCTTATTTTTGCTGATCTTCTCCGAGTTGGTTTAGGCAATATGCAACGTTTTCGTTGATCGCGGCTTCTTCAAGTATAATGTTCATTATGAGAAGAAAAGTTGAATTTAAAGGAATCTTTTGTTTCATAATTGTTGAACTGACTTCCATTTCGAGTGAAAGTGTTTGTTTGCAATATGCAAAGTTTTCGTCGATCCTGGCTTCTTGAAGTTTGATGTTCAAAATAGAAAGAAAAGTTGGGTTTCGACGATTCTCTTGTTTCATAGTTGTTGAACTGATTTCCATTTCGATTGAAAGTGTTTGTTTGCATTATGCAAAGTTTTCGTTGATACAGGCTTCTTCAAGATTCATGTTCAAAATAGAAAGAAAAGTTGGGTTTCGACGATTCTCTTGTTTCATAATTGTTGAACTGGTTTCCATTTCGAGTGAAAGTGTTTGTTTGCATTATGCAAAGTTTTCGTTGATACAGGCTTCTTCAAGATT